ATACTAATTTGACAAGGCAAGCTAGTCTGCAAATGGCTGTATGCAAGTAAATAATCCTTGTACAAATCCAGATATTTCTTTCCGAGAGTCCTTGGGCTAAACAATATTTTGTTGTCCCAAACAGTAAGTCCACTGAAAGATGAGACTTGTTAATACTTATATAAGCCCCACTGATTCAATGAAGCTACTCTAGTTGTGATTAAGAATTGAATTTAGCCCTTTATTGTCAACAGCCCTAGGCCTCTGAATGCAAGTAGTTCATATTTTTTCTAACAATTGGCTAAAAAAATGCAACTGTGTTCTTATTTGGGATTAGAACTACTTGAGATTTTTTTAAAAAATGTGAACGAAAGAGAAAATGAAAGTAAGAATCATTCCAGATTTTGGAACTCCCTCCCACAGGAGGCTAAGATGGTCCTATCTTTTCTGCCATTCCACAAGCAAGTAAAGACCTTTCTCTTCAAGCAGGCTTTCTCTCAGTGACTGCCTGAGTTGAGTTCTTAAATGGATTGTTGTGTCTTACTGTTTTGAGTGTAGTTTTGGTGTTGCTTATGTTTTTATTATGGTATTTGTTTGATCCTTTGTATACTCACTGTTGTTAGCTTGAAACATGGTCTTTTAATAATATAAACTGCCTTGGGCTCTTTTTAAGGAAAATATATTTTAAATAAAAATTAAATAAAATATTCCAACTAGGAAAAATGTTCTGAGTACTTAACAATTAAGAAGGCATAACACTTAAAGGTCTGGCTTTAAATTCTGTGAATTGGATCACATTAGTGTTAAGATACAGTTACATGTAATAAAGCTAATAAAAAATTCTTAGGGCTTTCAACAGTGGTCTTGCATTAAAGAATATGATGTTTTATGTAATAATTTTAAAAGGAGCCTAATTTTCATGGAAAGTATTTCAATTCACAAATTGTCCAAAAATTAGGATGACTGCTGGTTTATATTGATGAACCTGAAGCACTTCTGTGGGTTGTTGCCATCTTATTTAACAATCAGCTAATCTTTCTGTGCTTGCTGTCTCTATTTAGTTCTCAAAGTGAAAGGAAAATAGAGATGATTTATGCAAATTGCAGAGACCCTCGAGGGGAGGGAAAGAAGATGAAATCTTCCCGTTACTTTCATTTGGAGGTAACAAATATTGTACGGCTCTAAAATTACTCAACTACGTGTCTCATCATAACAAGACATCTTAATCTGATACTAACAAGATATTTAGCAAGTATTGTTTCCATGTATAATAATGCCAGGTGAGCCAAACATGGCCCTCCCCATCCAACATGCAGAAAGAAGTGGAAATGGCAGATTTTCTCCATTGTGACTTGAGGATCTGAACTCACAACCACAGGCTACTGCTATTGTTGACAGCACTCAGATGTGCCTGATGTGCATTTGTACACTTTTTAGTTGTCCTAGAACAGTAAGAAAAAAAGCACACGGGTTCTATAAACTAAGGATGGTCCTCTAATCCAGTGGTTTTCAAATTTGGGTCCCCAGATGTTCTTGGACTGCAACTCCCAGAAAACCTGGCCAGCACAGCAAGTGGTGGAGGCTTCTGGGAACTGAAGTCCAAGAACATCTGGGTACTCCAATTTGAGAACCCTTGCTCTAATCTATGACCGTCTCTCTTTTGCCTACCCATACTTCGTAAATTAATATTATAAAACATAGTACAGTTACAAATAATTAGAAAAGTACTGAATCACATAGTACTATGCAAAGAAAAGCTTATGAAATTTCACTGGTGGAGGGCTGTTCGGATAATATTGAGGAGAGAGCTTATGCTTTTGCGTTTTCTCCCTGCCTCTCTGCTGTACTCTGGATCTTTCCCCCACATTTAGCACCTTCAGTTCCTACACTGAGCCCTTCAGTTTAGCACTCTCAATGTCAAAATATCCCCATTTCACAACCTTACTTATATATTATCCTTCTACTGAACTCCTGAAGATCTGCGCTCAGATCACTAGCCATCTCTGCCTGAATACTTCTGAGTTACCATATCCATTCATTCTAGTCACTTAAGTAGGAAGAACATAGGGTTTGAAATAAAACTTGCTTCTTTCTTTCCTTGAAACTCAACTTCCCTTGGTTCCACAGAGAGTTGTTGCGAGTAGTCAGCAAGGGATTCTCCCCCCTCTTGCCCCTCTCTTTCCAGACTAAGCTTTCAACACTGAGGGCACTAGACTGCAATAGATGTATAGCATTCACTATTATCCACAGTTTTTAATATCTGGTGGTGGGCTTGGAACCAAACCCCTGTGGATATGGGGGTCCTACTGGCCACTTGAGGGAGTTTCAACAACAAAAATACATAGCATGGTTTCAGGATTTCTCTAGTGGCCAGTTCTGGTAAATGCATCATGAAAATATATATTTCTTTTAATATTTTTAATATTTTCAGATTGTGGATAAGTGAAACTGCAGATATTGATCTCATGGATATGGAAGTCCTACTGTAAATGAAATTTAGAGTCGGAGTGGGGAAGTTTCTCAAACTTGGATCTAAAGGATTATTAGACATTCAGTTTGATACAGTAATCAGACTGAGTTCAGACCATGTGAGATTTAGATATACATATTTGTCACTGAAAAATGAAGGGGACATGTACAACATTCAGTATTTAAGGACATTTTATTATACTATTGTTCTTAGACATTATTGTGTATATCACTAGAGATTATAGGAAAGAAGTCACTTATCCAATATAAAGTATAAGTGGATGACATTTCTGTCTCACTTTCTGTGCTAGATAAGTTTAATGTCAAGTTTGTGTCACATAATTATATGTTATTATTTACTATTTTACAGTATAAGTTAACCATTTTTGTTTGTTTGTACCTAAAGGGGGAAAAGCCAGGACAGCTTTCTGTAAAAACAAAATTATTGAACACCAGTCCTATCTATGTCAAGGTATTTGCTCAGTTGTGAAATATAATTTTCTATTAGACTCCCAAAGATGGCTGTATGGTAAGAATACACAACTGATTCCAAAAATAATTAATGTTTGGGAATAAGCCTGGTTTCTTTTCCACAATAGGGAAATAGGCTTTATGAAAAAAGACTGTATAACTGGGGGATATGGTGAGTCAAGCAAGGTAGTGACTGGATGGACATTTGTCCCACTATTTGCACTGTGTTTCTAAGCATTCATTTCAACATTTATTCCATCAACCACATATTGCTAGGGGATAGATCCAAATTTTAGGCATGAGTATGTGGTCAAAGCTATGGTTTTTCCTGTAGTGATGTATGGCAGTGAGAGCTGAACCATAAAGAAGGCTGACCGCCAAAGAATTGATGCTTTTGAATTGTGGTGCTGGAGGAGGCTCTTGAGAGTCCCCTGGACAGAACAAACCTATCCATTTTGAAAGAAATCAACCCTGAGTGCTCACTGGAAGGACAGATTCTGAAGCTGAGGTTCCAATACTTTGGCCATCTCATGAGAAGAGACGTTTCCCTGGAAAAGACCCTGTTTGGAAAGTGTGAGGGCGAGAGAAAAAGGGACCAACAGAGGACAAGATGGTTGGACAGTGTCATTAAAGCTACCAGCATGAATTTGACCCAATTCTGGGAGGCAGTGGAAGACAGGAGGGCCTGCTCTGGTCTATGGGGTCATGAAGAATCAGACATGACTTAAGAACTAAACAACAAATGTGGTATGTGTTGTTCAGATGGCAGAGCTTATGTTTATTGTAGTGTTTCTACTTTCATTATTTAGTTTTATATCCTGCTTCTGTGATTGCACATATGTCTCCTTCAGGGATATTGTTGGGCAGGTCAAAGTGAGATCTGTGATGACGCACAGAGTGGGGCATGCTATGGCAGTGAACCCTACACCTTCTGCTTATTCTCTGCTGACTCTGGTAAAGACTACAACTGCAGCAAAATTTGTGAATTGTATTTTTAAACTGATACAGTGCTGCTTCAAATCACTGTATCTTGTCAGTTCATTTGCAAAAAATAAAAAAAATCAATTGCTAAAAAGTAAAAAGATGAATGCTGGCAAAAGTGGTAGGTAAGAGATGGCGATAATGCTAGAGAAGGGGGAAGAGAAAAGGGCCTTGAAATACACCTCACTGCAATGATTAAATATTTATATGTGGTCTGTGACAGGAATTTAAACATCAGGGTGCAGTACAGAGAGCTTTGTTTTAACCCAGGACAAATTTATGTGGGGTCACACCCTAGGTTAGCTTGAAAATTCACATATAAGACATGTTAAGATAGTTCACTTGTCTTCTTTATTATGGAAAATCCACTACTCCCCATGAGGTAAAACAGAGGTAAGGATGATGTGACCATTTTGGATAATATAAACATTCTTGTATTTACTATAAAAATTATAATCCAGTCTGATTTGATACCCTTATAAAAAGGAGAACCAACAGTTTAAACAAAAATTGGGAACATTTGGGAGTTAATTTTATAGCTATTCCCTTATTAAACTTCATGGGTACTAAACGTCTCATTTAAAAAAGGGTGAAAAATCAAATATTACATTTTCCCCCTAAGGTGGCTAAGTGTCATCACAAGATCTCAGCGATTATTTTACTCTTGTCAGTTTATGGATTTATTAAGAAGCATTATGAAAAGAACCTGAAACAAGAAGAGGCTTGATTTTATTACAACCTTGTGAAACGATAGATCATATTTAGTTATTATTAGTGGTAAAGAAAAAATCAAATATAATACAAATCTCCTCTTATTTGCTCACTAAGTTATTTCAGATATTATCAGTTCTAACACACAAATTTCCTTAAGGAATAATTAAGGTTATGAAATCTTCTGGCATCAACATTTTATTTATAGTTTTAAGCAGCTAAGATGTGACAACTGGCTAGTTCTATTCTAATTCCTGTTGATTTCTCTATTTTACATATATTACAAGCATGAAAACAGTTCCTCTGTTAAGAAAAACTGAATTAGAAAATGTGTTTTCCAAAGGATACAGTATTAGAGACCACTCCTTTAGACACACAGAAATTCCTTTTCTCTAGAAGTGCAAGATCAGCACACATGGATGTACCCTAACCTATTTGTCTTGTGATAATTTTCTAAGGGATGTTTTTGTTGTGTAAAAAATTGCAGTAGGAAGGAAAGGCAAAGGAGAATCATTAGAGGGAGAAATAGGGAGAAATAGTTGCTTGTTTTTAAATTGCATAAAACTAAACTACTGGTCAAAAACCTGTTGGGGGGATTTGGCCTATGCTATAGTGATGTTCTTGTCAATAGTAGATTGCTGCTTATTGAATACTTCCTTTATCAATGGGGGGAAGTGCATGTCAACCACACTCCCAAACAGAAAAACAAAGCCTTTAATTTTAGCAGTAATGTTTTTTGCTTCTGGCATAATTTCTGTTGTGCAGTTAGAGGTACACTACTTGATTTTTGCCATTATCCATAAATACTCAGTCAAAAGTTCTACTTTCATTCTAGTAAGTATATGGGGCACTGGGCCTCCCCCAAGGACTTTAATGACAAATTTAATTACATAATAATAAAACATAATAAAGACAATTTCATAATCCTTATAATGTCAGTTACAAGAATGTATAGACAAACCATAAATGGAGGAGAAACACTTGCTGGGCAGACAGAGTGTTTTTCAATTGGGTATTAGAATTCGCATTTATGCTTAGGGACCCCCTAAAAGGGGGCTAAACTTCAATTATTAAAATTGACATTGTAGAAAGGAACAAAGAGCATATAAATACATCTGAATAAAGGCACAGTGATATGCATAGTAGTATACATGAAGCCAACATATTCTAATGGAAGGGTTCAAATCAGAAATTAAAAACAATATAGATATTCATAAGCTCACAAATAACTGCAATTTTCTGCAAAGAAACAGAATTGAGACAATATGACAATATTTTACTCCAAGCCATGGTATATGCAGCTAACTGTAAGTTGTGTGTTTGACATAAGATGGAAACTTTTTCCACAAGTGACACTAAGAATGCATTGCAACCTGGGAAGTGTAACTTTTGATCTGCAAATGGAGTCCATTTCTAGATGCTGAAGATTTACATTCAAATCACAGAACTAGGGAATGCATAACATGTAAAGCATCACTTGTGAAAATGGTCTTAGAGCTTCTCTGATGAAAAAGCCACTTGTGAGAAAAATGCATGCATAGCTTCTTCAATTTCTTTCATGTTGGTGTAACATAATAAATGCTTTAATGGAGGTTCGGAAAAGTCAATATTATCCAAGCCTTATTTCCCCTTAAAGAAAAAGTTCAGAGAGGAAAACAAGACATTGCATTCTGCTTGGTTCACCCCTAGTATCAAAATGCACACCATAGACTTGTGACTATGAGGAAAAGAAATCCAGCAGCATTCAGCTGCCGTGACTGGCTTCCATTTCCACCTTTACGAGCTTCACAGCAGGTATCTGCTTTGATGAAGATTGATACAAAAATCAGGTGTAAGAAAAAAAATTCAGGAGAAATAAAAAATATATTGAAAAGTATGTGGAAAAAGAAAATTAAAAAGAAACAGTGATAGTGAGAAAGAAAAAAGAGAAAAAATAATTAATGCAATATTTGCACAATGCTGAAGTCAATTACTTAAACTGATCACTTCAAGATAAAATGTTGAAATGTAGATAAATGAAGAACTTTTTAAAAAAGTGAAACAAGTATCACTTCAAGTAGCAGGAATAACATATTGCTGGAAATCCTGTCTGTGGTATAAAGCTGATGATGTCATCAAATGAGGCAACTGTTGGGAAATTAAGCAGTTTCTGCCCCCATTCCCTGGCACCCTCCAATCCCAAGTAATCCCTTTTATCTTTGAAAACCTCTGTGGACTACGGGATGGGAGGGGGAAAATCTTTAATTACTGAAAATCACCACTATCGGTAAAGTCATCCCAATGTCTGTAACTTTTGATAATTAAACACTCCCCTTTCCTGTCTTACAGCCACCATGGATTCCTGATGATGAAAGGGGTTAAGTGGTATCAGGGGAGGCAGGGGATGGGAGGAGGAAGTGTTTAATTTTTACAGCTTCGTGCCGCAGAACAACATGAACAGAGAAGTCAAAAATAACCCAACACCACCCAAAAATCATTAAGTCACTAAATATGAATATGAAGATGGAACCAGACTGCTGTCAATCTAGAGTCCTGTGTCCTGTTAGACTAACTAAGGCATCATATTATCATATTACTGTGGATCAGTGTTGTTTAATCTTGCAAATCAGATACACTTATCCATGGTCACAATGACATGCTCAGCAAGGATTGTTTTGTTAATGGAGCAAAATGGTGTCAAACCAACTTGCATTGAATATTGTGTAAACTGAAGGAAACATGTTATTTATTGGATAGCTAATAGACTGAGCAGTAGGGTTGTCTCACTCCAACATTTTGTGAAGGTATTACTTGCTCCTTTCACAAAACAGCTATACTTTTGTGGGCCTTAAACTTATCTGCCATACATTTTCTATTCAGACACTTGGAAATATAAACAGATGAGATGTTATTCATTTTTAAAGGACGCGCTTCAGAAGTTTCTCTTTTGATAAAAACTTTACTAAAGAATTGTATGAACAAGTTGATATGAGACAAGAAACACAATATGAGGAAAAACTAGCATTCCAAATAATTCATGTACAAGAAAATCTACATCTCTAACATGTACGAGGCTTCAGGTATTATTTGAACAGAGATCTAACAACTTATGCTGTTTGCAGATAAGACAAGTGAGCCCAGCCATTAGGTTGCAATAATTATAGAATAATAGAGTTGTAAGGGGCCTATAAGGCCACTGAATCCAACTCTCTCCTCAATGCAAGAATTCTAGGCAAAGGATATCCGACAGTTGGTTGTATAACTTTTTATTGAATGCCTCCAGTGTTGGAGGACTCACCACCTCTCAAGGTAATTGGTTCTGTCATACTGCTCTAACCATTTGTTTTTCCTGATATTCAACCAAAATCTGGCTTCCTGTAATTTGAGCCCATTAATGCATGCCCTGCACTTTGGGATGATGAGAACAGATCCTGCCTTTCCTCTGTGTGACAATGCTTCAAGTATTTGATGAAGGTTATCATCTCTCCCCTCAGTCTTCTTTTCTCAAGACTAAACAAGCCCAGGTCTTTCAGTGTTTCCTAAAGGGGCTTGGTTTCTAGTCCCTTGATCATCCTTATTGCCCTTTTCTGAACTTGTTCCAATTTGGCTCTATTCTTCTTACAGTGTGGTATCTAGAACTAGACACAGTACTCAAGATGAAATCTAACCAATGTCAAACAGAGAGGGATTAGTACAGTGGTGCCTCGACTTATCAATGTCCCTACTTACAACCATTTCAAATTAGGACTAGCTCCAGCTGCAAACTTTTGCTTTGACTTGTGGCCGGAGCTTCCAATTACGAACAGAAAAGGGCAGGGGAAAAAGGCGGGAAATTCAAATTTCTAATTGTAGGTGACAATGAGGCTGCTTCTTTGTAGCTATTTTGCCCCAGTAGTTAGAGAGTGTGCGATCGGAGGAGACTGCCTGGTAAGATAAGGTGCTGTTTTCTGCTTTTTAAAAACTGTTCTGGGTGTTTATGCAGCGTGGTTTTGGGCTGGGGGGTTATGTTTCTGTGCTGTGATGGGTCTTAGGGGGTTTGTTTGTTTCTTTGTTCCCCCTCCTATTTTCAATGGGTCTTGGGGGGTTTGGTTGCTTTTTGGAGTGCTTTTTCCAATTTCTGATGGGTCTTGGGGGGGTTGGTTGCTTTTTTTGGGTTTCCCCCATTTCCAATGGGTCTTGCATGCTTCCTTTGCTTTTTCCTTTGTTATCTGTGCTTTCCCAAACTGCCCCTTTGTTCTCTGTGCATTTCCGATCTGCTCCGTTTGTTTACTGTGCATTTCCGATGGGTCTTGCATGCTTGATTGCTTTTCTTCCCCCCTTCGGCTGGAAGGTATTAATCGTGTTTCCAATGAGTCTTGGCAGTGATTTTTTTTTTGTGCATGGTTTTTTTCTTTGGTGGAATGGATTAATTGCATTTCAAAGCATTTCAATGGGAAGTGGTGGTTTGACTTACGCCCATTTCAACTTATGCCCATTTTCCGGAACCAATTAAGTTGATAAGTTGAGGTACCACTGTACTTCACAGAATTTGGAACTACACTTCTGTTAATGTAGTCTAAAAAAGCATTTGCCCTTTTTTCCAGACACATTATACTGTTCTCTGATATTCCACTTTTGATCTACAACAATTCCAAGCTCCTTCTGGCATGTAGTATTACTGACCCAAGTATGTCCCATCTTGTAACTGTGCATTTGGTTTCTTTTTACCAGATGCAGAACTTCATACTTATCCCTATTAAATTTCATTCTATTGTTTTCAGCTCAGTGCTTGAACCTATCACGATCTTTTAAAATTTTGTTTCATTCCTCCAAGGTAATAGCTATTGCACACAATTTTGTGTCATCTGCAAATTTGACAAGCAATCCCTTAACCTTCTCATCCAAGTTATGAATAAAAGTGTTGAAGAGCACCAGACCCACTACTAAGCCTTGGAGTACTCCACTTGATGTCTCCTCCCAGTTTGAGAAGGAGCCACTGATCAGCACTCTTTCATATGATTCTGTAACTAACTGTGTATCTGCCAGCCAGATGTTCTATCCACCCCACACCTACTTAGCTTGCTAATCAGAACATCATGGAAAACTATGGTAAAAGCTTTGCTGAAGTCAAAATATATTATGTTCACAGCATTCCCACCATCAAAAAGGGAAGTTATCTGATTTGGGTTTTTTTTTAATGAGATAAGATTACCCTAGCAAGATGTGTTATTGGCAAATCTGTGTTAGTTTCTAGCTGTCACTGTATTGTTTTCAAGGCACTTGAAGACTGCTGTAGCATTTTCCCTGGGATGATGCAAGGCTGACTAGTCTATAGTTCCCAGGTTCCTCCTTTTAGCCCTTTTAGAAGATGGGGGAAAACATTATTCTTCCTCAGTCTTCTGGCACTTATCCATCCTCCATGATTTCAAGAAAATAATAGACAGTATTTCTGAGAATTATTCAGCAAGTTCCTTTGTTACTATTGGACACAGTTCATAGGGCCTTGGAAATATGAATTCATTATGCTGCCTTCAAAATAGCTATACTTTTCTAAGTGCTGAAGGAACCCATCCTGTATTCTTTCCTCCTCCAAAGGCACACAGGTCCCCAAACCTAGGTGTCTTAGATGGTCCTTATAACTGCCTCTGAGTGCTCACAAATTAACAATCATGGTATTACCCTACAAAACCCTGTTAAATTATGATCAAACTATTCCTGTTTAATACAGCACACAATAGCACATCATCTTTTCAGTTTCAAACCCCCTGAAAACCCTTCTACTTCCTTCTAGCTCCATATGTGACCAAAGCAATTTATGCCATGTTTTAAACGAAGGGCAGGAGGGTATAAATTAAACTAGGGATAAGGGCTACATTTTGGTGTGGAAAAAACTTAAATTAGCCTGCTTGCCCTGCCTTCATGTCAGCACAGGCACTCACTAGAAAGCAAATATAAGTTTCTTTCTTTCTTTCTTTCTTTCTTTCACAAAGGGATAACTGTGGCTAATATTGCATGTTGTTAAGTCTGGCACATAAGACCGATTTTCATTTGTTGCTTTAATCAAAGTTATCCTGCATAAAAAATTATTTAATCACAGTACCCGCCTCTGGAACAACCTACCTCCGGAGATTCACACGGCTCCCTCGCTGGGTATCATTAAAAATCAACTAAAAATGTGGATGTTTCAGCAGGCCTTCCCTCCAGTTAATCCCTGATGTTTCCCTTTCCTCTCTTCCCCTAGTGTTTGCCTCCCATCTTGTTAAATGTGTTCATTACGTAATAATTTTTTTGCTTTTATATATTTCCTGTGTATTTTTATGATGTAAGCCGCCTAGAGTGGTTGTAACTGACCAGATAGGCGGGATATAAATTAAATAAATAAAATAAAATAAATAAGTACTATATTTTGTCAGCAATTTCTTTTGATTTGCATTCATCTTACAAACTTATTTCTGGTGTATCTACTGTAATTTATATGCATGTTTTAAATTAATTACACCTGTGAATAGCCTCACCCTCTTTCTCACTGTGAAAATAGAGAATCATCATGCTAAACAAGTACAGAGGTTGTTGGTGTATATGCAGCCCAAGGACGCACTAGATGTATGTAAATATCTAAAACATAACTGCCCAGTCCTTATGCATACTGACTCAAAGACCATCCTCCCAAAGACAGGCCCACAGGTTGCAGCCAAGTGTGTGAACTAGAGGTTTTGGATTGAAGCTAAATAACCTATTTAATATAAGCTTCTGCATGTAACAGCAGAATCACAGAATTAAAAAAAGTGAAGTTGGAAGGGGCCTACAAGGGGAAAAGATGGAACTAAAATGGATATTGAG